TTACTCGTAGATCTACCGGTAGTGGTAACTACCGGTAATTAACACCTACCGATAGAATCAATAGCTATTTGGGAAATTCTAGATACGTATAACAGATAATAGATGCGTAAATACCAACATACTATATGCATTTTAAAATAAATCAAATCTTTGCAGATATTACATCACTATATAGTTACCTATCATAACTATTTTTATATCGATACTTATTGTCGTAATCAATTATGCTACGTAGAAACCCGAATAATAAAATTTCGTCAAGTTTTAAATTTTCACTTGCTCCAGTCAATTATTAAATGCACTTAATGCAGTAATATAATGTAACATATATATATAACAATTAATATGTTATTTTTATTATAACAAAGTTTATTATATTTTTAATAATGATGATACGAACAAATTGTTTTCGATATAAGGAAATCTATATATATAAAAAAAAAACACAAGAAATATCAGAAAATGCTTAAAATCTATATGCGGTGACAGATTGAAAATTCATTCCGCAAGTAAAATTTCTTTGAATCTGCGAATTATTATTTGTCACATATCACGCATCCTTTTTTTTTTTTTTTTTTTGAATTTTAATTATTATTATGATTACAAAAATTATCAAGCTTTTCCGTATACGTATTGAACTGATAACCAGTCATTATATGATAAAATGGCGGGTTATTTTTTTTCAGGTACAGACTTCGGGTTCAAAATCCGATCAAATTCCGAAATGCCCTGCATACTAATTTGAAAAAAAAACAAAGTCATATGGATAGTGCATTAAATAGTACCACGGGAATATATATGTGTTACAATATGGCGATAACTCCGTTCTCTAAATATTTAAACATCATGAGATAGATTTTATTTTTTCATTAACATCCAAAAATGAACCCACCTAACAATGATAACGATAAATTATTATCACATCGAGTATTTTCCGTTTCATTAGTATTAATCAATATACTTGCTCATATACTTTTAGAACGTGAAATAGTTAAATGCACTTTAGTGAATAGATGGTGGAACCAATTAGCGACAGAAAGATTATGGTATAGATTCCGTGGACTAAAAAACAATTCAAAGACTAAATCTTTTGAAAAATTTCTTAAAACTTTGGTTTCAGCCCGTGATGGTAAATGTCTTCATCAATACGGTAATTATGTTAAAATTCTAGATTTAGAAAAACTAGAATTGGATCATGAACAATTATTAATGACATTAGAAAGTTGTCAACGAATTGAAACATTTATCATTGGAAGTACAGTACTGAATAAACAAAAATTGTATGATATGGCATCTAGATTACCTAATCTTAAATTTTTCAAGTTTCCCGATTCAGTAGAGATTAATGATGGTGAAGCAATGGATGCAATAGCAGAATATTGTCCTCGTTTGGAGGAATTAGAATTAAAAAAAGAGATTTCCTGTTTCGGGGAAGTTTTATTTCGAATAGTACAAAAATGTAAAAGAATTCGAAAATTGGATATCGAAGAAAAAAATTACGATGATCAAACGATGATACCTATTCTTGAACAAGCTTCTGAAATAACTCAGTTGAAGATTCATCAATGTATTGGTATTAGTGAAGAAGTACTCTTAAAAATTTTCAAATTTTGTCCGAAATTGACAAAACTTAATGTCACTAATATGCATGAAATAACAGCAGCATTCGCACTTGAAACTGCAAAGCATTTTAAAAAATGCTCTAGAGTTACAGTTAATAAGGTGGATAGGCCATTAGACAGCAGCATAGAAGCTTCTGAAAATAAATTGAATGTTGCTTTATATGAAGATGAAGTTGATCTAGGAATGATTATTAATTATTTTATTAATAGAAAAGAAAAATTGAGAGAGTTAATTTTGTCTGATGTCCAATTGAATAAGTTGACCTTGGGAATTATTTGTGAGAATTTGGATTTATATACATTAATAGTGTCTGGCGTCAAAGGGTTAGCAAAAGCGGTATGTTTTTTTTTTTTTTTTTTTTAAGATTAAATAGATTACTTTTTTTCGTAAATTTCTTATTTATTTATTTATTTTATTTATTTAATTTTTAACAGGACGTAGTGGCAACAATTTCAAAATTAAAAAATCTAAAAACATTTTTAATACGTTTCTCAACAATGCCTACTGAAATTATGACTTTGTCAAAGGATGAAAGTAAGAAATTATTCGAAATTTGTCCAAACCTAGAATCTATTCAGTGGCATACGATTCCTTATAAACGAAACTAAGTGATGTGATTTCAATAATAAATTTTTCGTGAAGAATGTCAAAAATGGTCAATCTTACAATAAAAAATTTGGTATTACTATAGAAAAAACCAAAATTGTTATAGATTAATTATCATCAAAATTTTTATTCAACTTGTTAACTCTTACATATTTTAACAAAATATGGTTGTTATAAAAAATAGATAATATAATGTCCGAAAATTGTCTGAAAGAATGTGTATCTTTGTAAATAACATAATTTCTTAATACATGTTTTATTTCACTAACAACTGGCCTTAACTCACTATTCAAATAAATCAAGTATAACGTACACTATACATATATACATATATATATGTTTTGATTAAAGAAATTAAAAGAAACGAAATTCATTTTACTATGCAAAAAAAAAACCCCCCAGAAAACCAATTTAATAAAAAGGAAACGCGAAACGAATCATAACTTGTATCTTCAAGTTTTAAAGGAGAAATATATACAAAAAAAATTTTTTTCAACAAAAATATAATAAGACAATGTTTAAATGTTTATCATGCTGAAGAAATATCTCGTTTGTGATGGGTTAATGGACCTGAATCTCGCCTGCAATAATTATATGGTGTTGTCTCACGTTTGTAGGAATAATTTGGAACGGCTTTAGAGTCACGTTTTTGTCTATTTGCATCTAGATTACGTTTATAGCGGTAGGCTTCCGAATAGGTTTGTAAGTCACGTTTGTAGTCGAATTGACGTTGAGAATCTTCACGTTGGTTGACAGCGCATTGTTTTTGGGGAAAACGTTTCTCTTGATATGGATAACTTTCGTTGCTATGCTTTTGTTCATTTGGAAGTGATGAACGTTTGTCCAGAAAGAGAAAGTAAACTGAATGATCGAAAAAATTAGTTAATATAATAATAATAATAATGACAATAATAATAAATCTTTTTTTTCGATATAAAGTCCGGTACTCACTTTCTTTATCGTCGTCATCATCGTCGTCGTCAGCGAAGACGATTGCAATAGCAACAAATAGTATGAATGTTAACATGAATATATTGATAAATTTCATCGTTTATTATTTATAATATTAATAATTTGTACAATGTAAACGTAATTTGGTTTGATGGATACTGAAAGGCATTTATATTGTTTTTTGACGGAATACTCTCGTTATAATAATTCTTTAACATGCTATTACCTAACGTTGCTAGATCCGACATTAACACGTATCAAATCCTTTCAATTTTAAACTTCTCTCCACGTTCGTTTGGATTGATAAATAAAACGTCTTTGCAAATTCGGTTGATGACAGAATACATTAGAAAGATGCCAAGTGTCATACTACTCATTTATGCAGTAGTGTCGGCTCTGAACTAAATTAGACTCACAAAATCGTGACTAAATGCTACTACACTAAGCCCACAACTTTTACATACCAATATATATATCGATATATATCACGTAATAATTCATTATACTGTATGATCAATATTTAGTTTATCGTTACGTTACCTTTTGTCCGTTCTAATGCAGTAATGCCAACGTCGTATCGAGAATGCCACATTTTTTGTTTATTACGCACTAAGCCGTGATCGCCCAGCCTACTTCAAAAAAAAACTAAATTTGGAAATGGTATCAGGTATATTTCGCTTAATATCCCGAGCATATACCGATACAAATTTTAAAGTTAGGTAAATCCAGAACCAATAGGACATTATGTAGTAATTCAATATGGGTAAAAGTTCATTTCTATTAGCTAATCAATAAGAATGCTGATTGCAATACAGACCATGTCAAATTTGATAAAAAATTAGTCTACCAAGTCCGTTTTCGCTATATAATCCAATAATGCCTCTCAATGTTTTCAAATCTAATAACCTTTCAATTATGATACAAAATCTCTACCATGCATAACTTATCGGTTTTTGAGAAATAAAGATAACTTTATTGAAAGTTCCTAGTTAAATTTTGTACTCTTTAAGCTGCTCAAAATATGGATCTTTAACAATTGTTTTAAAAACATTTTTAAAAATTATATCAATTGTGATACTGTACAGTATATGTTGATAATTTAATTTTTTTTTGATTTATTATTAGGCACAATTTGTAATTTGACTAAGCAGTTGGTAAAATACTATATAATTGTGCAAGTAAACCGGGTATTGACTAATATTAACTTTGAGTCGTTTTTTTGTCGAAAAAGCACTGTTGATCAATCAAATAACACGGTCTTTGTCCACTACTAAAACGAAATTTATTCAATTCCAAAACTCCCTGAAAGACTTTTTGAGTATAAAATAGTTCATTTTATTGCCAGATCGAAAATTTTGGATTAAATGCCAAAACTTGAAAAAATATTTATTCGTGTCCCTAATAATGAATCTATACTGAATAAATAATGCATAAAGTATATTACATTACATGACTTTTTGAAACTTTTTTTCAAGTGGAGATTTACCCTCGTAGACCATTGACCAGTAAATCGACCAATCCTGGTTATGATCTATGACATTGCCTATTAATTATTTTCCTCATACAATCATATCTTTTTCATGTATAATGTTAAGTTATATAAATAAATCTCATAATATCAATATGCGATAACAGAAGAATTTTGTATTTAATAAATTATAAATTAGATAAATTAACAGCAATTTTATATTTAAATATAAAATACTTATGTGCATTAATTGCATCATAGGTACAGTATATACTAAAGTCGCCATGGAACAGGTTCAGTTTTACTAACACCCACTGTAGAATTCATTTCCGTAGGTTGCTTATGTTCTTTTTCAATCTTTTTCAATATTAGTTTCGCATTTACTTTTGCTTATAAAATTTGATTTGGAATTTAATGCTGTAAGGCTGCTAGTATCAGATGATTGTTGGTGTGCTGCATCAGTTTCATGCTCGCACTGGTCCTTTATTAATGGTCTCGACGACAAACAACGATTAATTTCATTTATTTCGTTGAAATAAGGATGTGATAAAGCACGTTTGGCTGAAATGCGTAATGTGTCGTCGTACGTCAACATTCTCTATTGTATATTAACATATGTCATGAGTATGTTAAAAAAAGATATCACAATTAATAAAAATGTCTTAAAACCAACATTTGCATTGTACACAAGTCCAATGCCAACGCTGTTTAAAACAGTTCGACTTACACTGAGCAAATCAACACCGAGAGAGCTTAAAGTAGGAACATATTTATCAAGGAGTTGTGGTTTCCATTTTGGAAAAACAGGTTTGAAATCTCTAAATTGTGTTATGTTAGGCCAAACACTTTCGTCAGGAGTTCCAAGAACCCTTAACATTATTTATTAAATATTTTATATTATTAAATAAATAAATTAATACAGAAATAAATAAATAAAGCTTACTGAAAGATTCGAAAAAGTTCATCTATTTCACTATCTCCTGTTCATATAATATTAATTAATAATCGTACACCACAGAATAATGTTTTTTAAATAAAGTCTCACCCTTGAATAAGACCTTCTTATTAACCATTTCGGCAAATATACATCCAATACTCCACATATCAACAGCAAAAGAATAAGTTGGACTACCGAGCATAAGTTCCGGAGCTCTATACCACAGAGTAATCACCTAAAAATAAAATATCATGTTCGTATATAAAAAAATCAAATTAGATTCAAATTTTAAAGTAAACGATACCTCATGTGTGTAAGGTCTCAAAGGAATACCAACGGCTCTGGCCAACCCAAAATCTGCTAATTTAAGGTTTTCTTCTTTATCAATTAACAGGTTTTGAGGTTTTAAATCCCTATGAAAGATTCGTCGTTTATGTAAGAACGTGGTTCCATCAAGCAGCTGGTACATGAGTTTCTAATTTTTCGATTTTAAAGAAATGATAAAATTAATTTATGGTATCTCTAATAGTTCATAACAAAATAACAAAAAGATGAATACATAAAAAAAAAAAGGTACCAGAATCTTATTATGCCCCAATCCTTCTTTGGAAGAATGAATATATCTTTTCAAATCCATTGTAAGAAACTCGAAAACAAGAAATAATTTATTTTCTTGATTTACAATATCAAGTAGTCTAGCCAAATATTGAAAGATGTATTAAAAATGTGACATGCTTTTGTTATGTGTTTATATAGTAAACATACTTTACAATATTTTCATGTTTCATACATTCCTTTAGCAAAGAAATTTCTCGAAGTGAAGTAGGTGGAATTCCTTCTTTTTCTCCAATAGATGAATCTAGACGTACTTGTTTGAGAGCTACGATTCTTCCGGTTTTTTTATCTTTAGCCCTATAAACTACTCCATATGTCCCTTTTTTTTTTTTTAAAAAAAAAAAAATAGATTAATGTAAAAGATGCGCACATAATAAAGAAATTATATTGTTGTGACCAAATTTAGATTCCATACAAAATAGGAATACAAAATTTATATACAGTATCTATATATAATAATCTCTTCCAATTAATTAATACCTTCTCCAACTTTTTCCAATTTTTCAAAATCTTCCATGTTCACCTTTGAAACTATCTAAATTTACAAGTATCACTTTTGATCTAAAAAAAATACATGATAACGGTAGTAATTTATGGGCTATATACGTTTCTGATAGTGTTTTGCTGTTAATAAAATTACGTAATCAGTTAATTAAACACGATTTACGTCATTAAAAATATTAAAAATGTGACATGCTTTTGTTATGTGTTTATATAGTAAACATACTTTACAATATTTTCATGTTTCATACATT